CTTGATCGTTGTTATTGACATTTTTCTCAACAATCATATAGAATTTTGGTCCAAGTATTATTATGTGTATCATTAATGCATGCATGGCCAAGGAGGCAAAAATTAGCTAACCACCCAAGAAAGTTTTGAACACGTTCAACAATTGTAAAAATACTAGGAAAAAGTACAACAAATTGAAGGGAGTCTAAAAGAAACTGAAATTACAAAAGTCAAGCTAACAGTTACATGGATAAGATTGAATTGTCTTTAAAATATTAATTATCATCCATAGTAGTAAATTTGGAATGTTAAGCACTGCAGTGAAATATATGATCACAATCATAGGTATGAAACATCAACATGTTTATCAAAACAACTGAATAAGGTAGTAATGAGGATTTTCTCATTGACAATCTTATTTCATTTTAGGTTTCAGCCTTCCTGATGCATTTAAAAGAGATTCTGAATGAAATTGGTTACATTCAGAATCTAAATATAAACCAACTACGCCAAAAGTTTGAGTTGTTGAGTTGTTAAGTGAAGATAAACAAATAGGTTTTGTACTATATACATACTCCCTTCTTAGAATTGTTGGGTGAGCCAAACTCAACCTTACAAAACCAACTTGTGAGGTGAGGCATGCCCAAACTTTATAAACATACATAGGTCATATCTCTAAGCAATGTGGTACTAATTCACCCCTTTACACCTAACACGGCTAATGTGTTAGTGAGTTCAGTGAAGGTAACCCGAATGCAGTAATTTAGGCAGCTAGGGACAGACCGCAATGAAGGCGGAATCTCCAACATACCATATGAAAAGTGCATTTGGTCTTGATGCATGAACAATGCACGGGCCCACTTACCTTGGTACTGAAACTAATCTACTTCTATTATTAGAATGAGGGCGATAAGGATAAAGCTCTAAACTATTTGGTCAGAGGTCTAATGTCATGTTTTAAAATTTAGGTCAGGCCTAACTCAACTCTAAAAGCTAGCTCAAGGGGTGAGGATTATGTAAAGTCTTATAAAAACTACTTTGGCCTAACTCAATATACTTCATACCCCACAGAGTTAAAGTGTTGGAGGCTTCAATTAAGCAAACACTAGGTAGTTGCAATGAAGCAAGCTAGATAATGTGCTTTCTAAATCTGGTAATCTTCTTAATACATCCTCAATGAGCTCTACTGATCAACGGATAAATTTTATTTATTTGAATCTTGAAAAGGGATAAACAATAGTCAAGAATGATTTATTTATCTTTAGAACAAGACATGGTCATAGTAACTGTTGTCATTTTCTGCATATATGATCCCGTATTCATGTGATTGAAGTATAAAATGGCATCCCTTGTCAGTTATTTTATCAAGGTTTATAATAGTTTCCTCTTAGGTGGTTTCTGTACGTGTAGATAAACATGTAGAAGCACCATAAGGAGGGTTGACCAGATGGATAGTCCAATAGTTTTAGAAAGAGGACAGCCAAGGAAACTATAATTCAAACCATTATGAGAGATTTATAGACAAGTGGCATATCTCTCAACTCAATACATGGCATGGCGTTGGTTGATCCATTTAGCCTATTCCATCTAGTGAAAGAAGGAACTTCGATGTCATTATAGGGATAAACAATGTTCGGAAAACACTCTGTGATTGGTCCATTTGTGATCACTAGTAGGCAGCTTATTTTACTTCTTTAAAATGAACCAATCACAAATGATGTTTTTAATAGTGTCCAGAAAAGTGTGTTGTTAGCATTTTTATAATAATATCCCTAGGCGGCACCAGGATATATTCTCATCATTGTTGGGTTTGGGAAGAATTAAAGCTCGATTATGATCTGGTTGATTAATTCCGCTATATTGATGAAGAAATTTGAATTGATTTTTTATCCTTTCAAGGCTTCTCATCATGTCCTAATATAAATCTGTCACATAACTTAAATAATAGCTGTCTCCTAATATCTCTAGATACATGAAAAACCTAGGTTAACATTCATGACTTGTGCTCCGGAATACTTCTATTTGTACATGTGTTCAATAAAAGGACTATATATATATAATGTTTACTTGTACATGTGTTCAATAAAAAGACTATATATATAATGTTTACGCATATTTTCGTCTGATATGGTATAAATCCACAAACTGGTTTTCATCACCTTTTATATTCATAAAGTAGATTGGCCATCTATCATGTCTGAGTTGGAAGTCTTCCTCAATAATTTCTATTGAGCTATCAGTATCTGAGAGGTAATAAACTAGCTGTAGAAAAGCATACGGGTGATAATTGTATATATTATAAAGAAGGAAAAGGGCTCCTTTTATAGGAGAGAAAATACAAAGTCAGCTTCTTTATTTTAGGAGTGATATAATGACTCTTAAAGTAATATAATGACTCTTAAATAAGAAAATAAATAATACTAAATAAGAGATATTTCAACACCCCCCTCAAGTTGGTGCATAGATGTCAATCATGCCTAACTTGTTGATCAAATATTCAAATGTTGTTCTTCCCAAGCTTTTGGTCAATATATCAAAGGTCTGTTGATTGGAAGGGATAAATGACAAGCAGAGAGTAATCTTTTCTTTGATGAAATGACGGTCGATCTTGATATGTTTTGTACGATCATGTTGAACCGGATTATAAGCTATGCTTATAGCTGCCTTGTTGTCACAGTATAATTTCAATGGGGGTTCTACCTCTACCTTCAGTTCTTTTAGGACTCTGAGAATCCACACACCTTCACAAATTCCTTGGGCCATTGCTCTAAGCTCAGGTTCAACACTACTTCTTGCAACCACTCTTTGTTTTTTGCTTCTCCAAGTCACTAGGTACCCCCCACATATGTGCAATAATCTGAAGTTGATTTTCTATAAATAATGGATCCTGCCCAATCTGCATCTGTGAATATTGTCACATTTTTATCATTGGTCTTCTTGAAGAATAACCCTTTTCCAGGAGTTGCTTTTAAGCATCTCAAGATTTTGTGCACAGCTTCAAGGTGTTCTTCATATGGTACATGCATGAATTGACTCACAACACTAACAGAGAAAGCAATATCAGGACGAGTATGAGCCAAATATATTAATTTTCCAACCAACCTCTGATATCTTCCAGTGTCAACTGGTGTGTCCCCTTTCTCCCAAATTTTGTTACTTTGGTCCATCGGTGTGTCGGCAGACTTACAACCACTCATGCCTGTCTCTTGTAGGAGATCAAGAACATATTTTCTCTGAGAAACAACAATTCCTTTCTTTGACCTTGCTACTTCCATGCCAAGGAAATACTTGAAGGGACCCAAGTCTTTAATTTCAAAATCTGCTGTTAAGTTTCTTTTTAATCTCTCCATTTCTATCTCATCATTACCTGTAAGAATAATATCATCAAAGTAGACTATCAAAACAGTTATCATTCCATTTTGACCTGACTTTGCGAATAAAGTATGATCTGCTTGTCCTTGAGTATATTCCTGTTTCTTCACAGACTGAGTAAACTTTTCAAACCAAGCTCTCAGAGATTGTTTCAACCCATACAAGGACTTCTTTAGTTTATACACCTGTGACCCAAAGGTTTCTTCAAAATCTGGAGGGCAATCCATATATACTTCTTCTTCTAAATCACCATTGAGAAAGACATTTTTGACATCTAGTTGATGGAAAGGCCAGTCTAAGTTAGCAGCAAGGGATAAAAGTATTCTGATTGTGTTAAGCTTTGCAACAGGAGAAAAGGTCTCTGAGTAATCTATGCAATAGGTCTGAGTGAATCCTTTTACAATCAATCGAGCTTTGTACCTTCCGATTGATCCATCAATATTGTACTTTATTGTGAACACCCACTTGCATTCCACAGTTCTTTTACCTGCTGGCAGAGTTGTGGCACTCCAAGTTTTATTCTTTTCTAGAGCTTTCATCTCCTCAAAAAAAGCTTCCTTCCACTTTCGAGTTTCTAGAGCCTCCTGTACATTCTTAGGAATTTTGACACTAGATAGATTAGAAGTAAATGTAGCAAAAGAGGGAGACAAGTTTGAATATGACACAAAGTTAGACAAGGGGTGCCTAGTACATGGCCTACCTGACTTCCTAAAGGCTATGGGAACATTAAGATCAGTATATTGTTTCTTAAGTTCTATAGGGACATCAAGGTCGGTATATAGAGAATTAGGATCAAGGAGAGACTTACCTGTCTGAGTCGGTTGACTTTCACTTGGTTCAGATTCTTGGCTGAGCTGAGGAATAGGATCTTCTACTACTTGATCATTGTTTCTTCTGACATAAATTTTGCCTTTTCAAATTGGATTTCCTTCCTCAAATCTTTTTTCTATTTCATTATAAGGATCTTTATCTGGTGCATTTTGATTAATTTCCGAAAAAACATTTGTTTGATCTTTGTTTTGATTTGTTGCCTCGGATCCGATTAATCCTTACTCATGGAAAGAGTAGGCTCATCTAATTTTTTCAAGGCATTTTCTTTAAGTGCAGATGTACATGAAACAAAATTATGTGATATATACACATCTTTTGAGGTAATTAAGTTTTCAAACAATTCAGGAGAATCTTCATTTATTTTCCCCCCCTGATGATGATCATTACCAAAAAAGGTTTGTTTTTAAAAAAAGTAACATCCATTGTTACAAATATTTTCTTTGTATTAAGATCAAAACATTTATAACCTTTTTGAGAAGATGAATACCCAATAAAAACACATTTGATTGCACGGGGTTCAAGTTTACTAAGATGCTTGTGTTCGTGAACAAAAGTTGTGCATCCAAATATTTTAAGTGGTAAATCAGATAGAACTGTAGCAATTGGAAAATATTTCAAGAAACTTTACAAAGGAGTTTGAAATTTCAAAACACGGGATGGCATACGCTTTATTAAATGTGCAGCTGTCAAGACGCTTCACCCCATAAATATTTAGGAACATTGGTAGAGAAGAGTAGTGCTCGTGCAAATTCAAGAAGGTGCCGGTTTTTCCTCTCTGCAGTCCCATTTTGTTGGGGTGAGTTAACACATGAACTTTGATGCATAATTCCATTTTCAAGAAAAAAATTTCCAACAATTTTATTAAAAAATTTAGTACTATTGTCAGTTCTAAACACTTGTATTTGGGTGTTAAACTGTGTCTGCACCAATTTACAAAAGTTTTGAATTATTTGACCTACCTCAGATTTTTCTTTCAACAAGTATACTCAACAAAGTCTAGTATGATCATCTGTGAAAGTGATAAACTATTTTTTGCTGGATAAAGTACTTGTTCGATTAGGCCCTCAAACATCACTATGAATCATTGAAAAAGTTTTTGAAGGTTTATAAGATCGAATTGGAAAAGAACTTCGATGATGTTTAGCTAACTCACAAACCTCACATTGAAGTGAAGAAATGTCTTGTTCAACAAAAAGTTTAGGAAACAATGAACTTAAATATTTAAAACTAGGGTGGTCTAACCTTAAATGCCACAACATAATGTCATCCTTATTATTTGAAAAAAAAAAAAGATTTAACAGAAGAAAAACTTATTGATCTCAATTGATGTCTGGTTTTTGGTTCATCTTTCAAGTAGTAGACTCCACCACTTTCCTCAACACGGTCAATCGTCCTCTCCGAGATCAAATCCTGAAATACACAATGAGTATCAAAGAAATGAGCTTGACAGTTTTTATTTTTGGTTAACTTACTGACAAATAATAAGTTGCAAGATAAATTTGGGACATGCAACACATCTTGGATGATTAGTAAGGGAGACAAAACAATAGAACCTTTTCTTGCCACGGCTGAAAGAGAGCCATCAACTATTTTAATTTTGGAATTTCCTGCACATGGTTTATATGAAAAAAATAAACTGGATTCACCGGTCATATGATCGGTGGCTCCAGAATCAATGATCCATGTACGATTAGGAATGACACTAAGATGGGCTGATTTTGGGAAGTTACATTTCTGGGCTATGGAGCACGAAGGTGTTTGAGACTCGAGGAGTTTGTACATTTGGTTAGTTGTTCCTTAGCGAATGGAAATGCATTTGGGAAGACTGTGGCTCTTGATCAGAAGTTGCTTGAAGTGCACGAAGATCACCCTTCTTTTTCCAATTAGGAGGTTTTCCATGAATTTTTCAACAAGTCTCACGTGTGTGATAATAACGTTTGCAGTGATCACACCAGAGTTTACCATCTTTCTTACCATATTTCTTGCCGTCTTTATTGATGTTGTTTGTGACAAGGGCAGGACCATCAATTGTTGAGTTTGACTTTCCCATCATTACTCTTTGTCTAGCCTCCTCCCTTCTAATTTCTGAAAAAGTTTCTCGGATAGTTGGCAGCGATTATTTTCAAGAATTCTACCTCTTACTTCATCGAGTTCCTTGTTGAGACCAGCAAGAAAAATAAAGACATGGTTGTTCTCCTGCGTCTTAATAAACTGAACATTGTCTTCAGTACACCTCAGGTTATAATCATAGCACTGATTCAACTCTTGCCAAAGGGTCATCAATTCGTTATAGTAGGTAGTGACATCCATGTCGTTCTGCTTTAAGTTCCATAACTTTGATTTTAGATCATAAATTTGAGAGAAACTTTTAATATCAGAGTAAGACAGTTTTACAACATCCCAAACATCTTTTGCTGTAGGCAAACACATGTATGTTTTTCTCATACCTACCTCCATAGTATTAATAAGCCAAGCAATAATAGAAGAGTTTTTAGATTTCCAGAACCTGTAATTAGGATGTGTTGTTGCAGGCACCGGAACATCACCTGTAAGAAAACCCAACTTTCCTTTGCCTTCTAGAATAAGTCGAACAGTTTGGGACCATTCAGCGTAGTTTGAGCCATCCAATTTCTGAACATTAACCTGAAGAGAGTTATTTTGACCTCCACCTCCTGAGTTACTGTAACCACCATCAAATGGGTAGTCATAACCGGACCCAAAAAAATTGTAGTTGGGATCACCTCTGTCATAACCGAACCCACCGTTAAAATTGTTGTTTGTCATGAAACTGGGCATTTCTGGCATGGTAAATTTCTTCTGTCGAAATTGTTGGTGTCGTCGAAATTGACGTTGGCACCGCTGCCGGAATTGTTGTTGGCGCCGTCGCCTCCGCCTCCACGACCTCCGGGAGGAGGTGGTGTTTGGGTAGGGTCCACCATAGTTTGGATCGGATAAAAGAACGGACGCCCGGAATTTTTTTCTTCGGGGAGATGTCCCCGAACCCCACTAGTTAGAGAAAGCTTTACAATATCACCCTAGTCCTAACAGAGCTCATGATACCATGTAGAAAAACGTATGGGTGATAATTGTATATATTATTATGAAGGAAAAATGGCTTCTTTTATAGGAGAGAAAATACAAAGTTAGCTCCTTTATTTTAGAAGTGATATAATAACTCTTAAAGTAATATAATGACTCTTAAATAAAAAAAAAAAAAACTAAATAAGAGATATTTCAACACTAGTCTCTTTTGCTTTAACTTCTTTCTTAAACTTTGAACAAACTAACTAGTTACTAAATCCCCATGTTGTTAATCTCGGATGGCTTTGTGCAGTACTGACCCCCAAAATGCTAAAGCAAGATAACCACTATTGCAAAGACTAAAATCCAAGAAACAAAGTAAATAAAAATATTCAAAACTAGACTGGTACACAAAATTGAAGAGATCATTATACTTGATAGTTAAGAAACTTAAAGTATAGAGTAATAAAACTTAAGCAGAGAAGAATAATAATACATAATTGTACTAAAAGTAGGAAGAATAAAAGAACAGTTATTTGTGAGCAAGAACATAACATCACTCTTCAAAATGTTCAGACTGAAGTTTATACCCTTAAAAAAAGACAACAGTTAAAGAAAAGAATTTGGGGAATTTATCTCCAAAGTTTTAATAGCGGCTGCAATACCGGTTTGGGGTCGCTATAACTGCTATTGTTGATAGAGGCTCGCGGACCAACAGCATCGTGCTGAAGACCAAATCCCTTATGCTATTACGCCATAGCGTGCTATTGACAACATAATAAATTCTCTATTCAAGATTATCCTTTTCGAGGTCTGGTTTAGGAATAAATTCATATGTTAATTTAGTAGTTTTCTTAGCTTCCTAGTGTCTTTTTGCAGTGTTTTACCTTTTGTAGTTATAATCCTTGGAGATTTTTATAATTTGACAGATATCTATCAATTTCTTTTATATTTATACCTGTGCCGGAGGTTTGTATGTATAAAGATTTTATATTCAGGAAATGGTTGGCACAGGGGGGGAAAGAGATTATAATTCCATAAACACTCTAGATTGTTATACTGGCTATACTGCTATATTCTTTACTATCAATAAACTTTTATCTTTGCTGATCACTGTGTCTCTGGTGACATAGTTAGTATTGTTGATTAATTTGATTAGACCTGCACATTAATATGAAACTTAGAATTGTGACTGTATGAGCAAATCGAAGTATACAAAGGTATGTTGTTGTTCTACAAGGATAACATGCGACGATGATGCTGCATAAATAGCTGGCTATCACTGCTTTGATTATTGTCTACTAGTTCTTGCTATCATATTCTTTCATGATTTTGCATCCATTGTTGCAGGTCTGTGAAGAATTTTTTTTAATTAGATTATCCCTCTATTGGCTGTTCGATATGTATGCAAATTTGGATAACTTAGTGCTAGGAGTTTCGCAGGTACTTGTTAATTGTCCTGCCATAATATTTTTCTTACACATCTTTCATCTTCAAAATCATAAGCAAGTTGGTACAAAAATTGTAAATGTCTACCTGAAGTGTTCAATCATTGTTATTTCTCTTTTCCCACTTGTTTTCAATTTTTGGCCATTTTTTATTGTCATTTACAATTTGTCATGATTGTGAAGAGAAATACAAATGATCCGCATCTTCCTCTTGCTTGTGTTAAAAATTTGGTTCAGGTAATTACAAAGCACAGTAACCAAAAACTATTTCACACTCTCTATTAAACACATCTAAGGAACTGTATTGTTTTTTACATTTTACTTTACCTTTAGGATAATGAGGCTCTGCTGTAAAATCGAACGAATGGCCACCAACCCTGCTATGTGAGATTGCTTAACTTGATTAGTTTAGAAGTCTATATTTATCTTCTTTTATGAATTGGCAGGCTATAAATTAATTTTTCGAAGTGGGAAGAATTATAATGAGCGACAATTTTCTTTAAGAGATTTAGTATTGTTGCATTTATAATCTCTGAATAAATTAAAAGAAACACTTATCATTTTATCAGTTTTTGTGGGTGTTCAAAATTATTTTTAAAAACTGATAATTACAAAAACATGACAATATCACCAAAAAAATGTTGGATTGATTTTGACCTATCTATGTAATTCAATAAAAATTGGATTACTTCTCTCACTCATGAAAAAACCTGAATTTATAAATAGTCAAAATAACAAGTTACAAATCATAATATTATCCATAATATTTAATACAAATATTATACTACTATTCGGACCTCTATGTTTTTTTTCGTACCGTAATAACATAGAAAGCCTCCTCTATCTATATTTGTTTGCGCAAGATTCATAATACGATTACATGTGTAACACCCTATTTTCTTATCGGTAATTTAAATAAAATTAGAATAAATTAACTTTTAAATAGAACATCAAAAATAGGATGTCACATCTTACAATATATTAAAAATTGTTAAGTATAATTAAGCAGATACATAAGACATTTTGGATGAATCGACAATAACTTTATCATGGTTCTCAAACTTCAACTTTATTAATACAACAAAACAAAATCATAATTATTTTCAACATTTTCAATTCATCATAAAACAAAGTTTTAAATCAAATAAAGAGAGTCTATAATATCCCACAATTCTTCAAAATAAAACAACAACTAAAATAAACAAGCAAGCATTCATCCTCCGATGTTACATATCAGAGCACAACGCCGATTTGAAAATAAATGACGGATAACCTCGTCTATTGCGGATCACCTGCACGTTATTCACGTAGAGGTAATATTCAAACAGAAGGGGTGAGATATCACAATAATATAATAAGTTATATAATTATAAGTATGCGACAAATATATCATATAAGATTTCATGCTCAACATCATCAACCACAAATTCACAATGATTATTGTTCTGGACTGGGCCTGCCCGTGGCCTAATCACCAACAAGGCCCAATCCAAGTTTTACAACATACCATGCTGAGTATTAGACTCCCCGACACGTCCCGGTCATGGGTCTCGTCGAATATAATTGTGCCCGCTGGTGACCGCGAAGAGCGTCCCAGACGAGGAACGTTCCAATCCAGGCCCTGCTCGAGCACCCTTCTCGTAGGGCAGACTCTCAACCTCTCTGAATATCTCGGAGTCCTCAGGGTCCCGGGAAGATCGCGTCTTCACCTCCCTATTCTGCGGAGAGCATCATCCAGGTAGGGGACCACGTGCAGGTCCCCACTACTCCACGTGGAACCTGGCAGTCCCTTTGTTGGGCCTGTTTGGTCAGCCCAGTAAAGGGACCTTGGCCCAGCGCTGGGGGCTATAAATACCCTCTATTTCAAGAGGGTCAGGTATTCATTTTTTATTCACGCCTATACACTACTTGCCTGCTCATTCCGTCTCTCATTTTGTCATCGGTGTGTCTTGCAGGTACCCCTCTCCCCCATCTCCTTCAAATCCAGTTCAAACCAGCTGTGACGGTCCAACTCTGATCAGGTACGATCAGTGGCGTCGTCTGTGGGAAACTAAGCTTCCCCGTCTTACAAACTTACAAAGACCAAAGCTAAAACCATCCTCGACCGTCATGGCTGACCAGACTCAGGACAACCAGAACGTCCGCGTCGTTGAAGCTAACAAGAACATCGCCGACAAAAATGGCGGCCCCGACAACGCCGGCATCACCGGCCATAACATACTCCTCGGAGGCACCGTCCCCGGGCCCTCTAACTACTGGGATGGAGCCACGACTTCATCTTCATCAGTCCCTCCTCGGCTTGAAGAGGATCCAACCGTCCAATTCCATGAGGTCCCTGTCCCCGCCGTGGCAGACGCCACGACCAGGGCACTGTTCACTACAATTAACCAGACGAATTGTCTCATCTTTTCCCAGGGGGAGAGATTGAGAGCACTTGAAGACGACCGAAGGCCCTCTAGAAGACACAGGAGGCCTTAATCCCCTCTTCCTCGAAGAACAGAGGAACGTACCCGATCTCCCCCGCGGAGACGGACCGGAACTTCTCTCGAAGCCCGTCGCCCCGACCATTCGGGCGGTGACCCCGCTTGGAGAGGGAACCAATCATCGAAGCAAAAAGGTTCGACCACGGTCCCTCACGGCAAGAACGAAGACCTCCCAGGGATAGATGCGGAGGAATCTATCAACAGTTACATCGCTCGAGGAACGTCCCGCACGACCAGGGCCATCGTGACCGACAATACATCAGATCCCCGTCCCGCTCCCTGGAACGGAGTGACGAGGACGACCCCCACGGTCCCTTGTCACAAGCTATCATGGAGGCGCCCATTCCCCCGGGCATGGAGAAGCCTCCCCACTTAAAATAATATGACAGCTTCGCCGACCCGGTCGACCACATAGACGGGTTCGAGGCCATGCTGCACTACCACAATGTTGGGGGACCAATCAAATGCCGGTTGTTCCCCACGACCCTGAGGAAAGCAGCTATGGACTGGTACAAGGGTCTCGCCCCGGGGTCAATCACCTCGTGGCGAAACTTGAAGAACCAGTTCATCAGCTCGTTCACTGCGTCGCGGCGACATCTGAAGACCGAAGCGGCGCTCGAGGCCATCGTCCAGAAGCATAATGAGACCTTGAGAGAATTCATCAACCGCTTCAATCGGGAAGCCATCCAGGTCCCCTGCACGGACCATATGAAGAGATACCTGCTGGAGAGGGGCCTCCTCCCCGGCATAGAATTCAAAAAAGCCGTGGGCATCGAACCACCCCGAACGTTTGATGCTCTCCTCGATAAGGCCAGGGCCTACATAGACTACGAGGAGAGGGAAGCGGCCAACAGAGCCCGAGACCCTAGGAATTGTGGATCCGGTAACAATCCGCGCCAAGATGCCGTCCCTTCTCGATGAACCGGGAAAAAAAGAAAAGACGACAAACCCCAGGACACCCGAGAGCAGAGGGGGCCTTCGGGACGTTTCATAGAATACACTCCGCTCACGGCTTCCCGCGAGCGCATATTAGCGGAGTGTGCGAGTACGGACTTCAAAGATGGCGGAGTCAAACGTCCCCGACCAGCTCCTGCCAAACCCGGGGTGGACAGGAGCAAATACTGTCAGTACCACCGGAGCCATGGCCATCTGACTGAAGACTGCGTCCACCTCAAAGACGCCATCGAGACCCTCATAAAAGGGGGGAGACTCGCCCAGTACCGGCGAAACGACGCTCCTCGTCGCGACGCCCGCGAGACGAGGGAAGCAGAAGAGGATGTCCGACCGTCTGACGAGTCGGTTCCCATCCAAACCGTCTTCTCCGTCACAAGACCCGAGGACTTCTACGTCCTCGACCACATCCAAGAACCACTGTCGATGCACAGCAAGTGGGGACACTTTCCCTCCGCCATGGTCATCAATGGTGGAGGGTTCAATGACCTGACCATAAATTCAGCTAAGAGGAAGCTGGACGAATTGGTCGACACGGCCCCTCCTCAAATGGTGACATTTGAAAAAGTGAAGGGCAGGTCGGAACCTATCATCTTCTATCTCGAGGAGCTCCTCGGAGGGGCCCCCAATTCGGTCATTCCTCTACTGATAAGAGCGAGAATGGCAAACTTTAACGTGCACCGCGTCCTCGTCGATGAAGGAAGTTCCATCGACGTAATGTACAATCAACTGTTTCGAACCCTGCAACTCAACGACTCTCACCTCTCACCTTACGTGGGGTCAGACCTGCAGGGCTTTAACGGCTCACCTTCCAAGCATTGGGGATACGTCGAGCTCATGGTCACGTTCGGCGAGGATACGACAACAAGGCAAGTCAAGGTGCGCTTCCTCGTCATTGATTGCCCGTCCCTCTACAACTGCATTCTGGGAAGGCCGACATTGGCAGATCTGACCGCAGTACCCCCCACCGTTCATCTAAAAATGAAGTTTTACACCAAGAGGGCACGGGTCGCCACCATCCAAGGGGATCTAGAAGCAACCAGAAAGTGTTTTAACACAGCATCCAAGGGACACGATACAGTGGACACCAGCACAAGGCCCGCCAAGAGAGTTGCGACAACACGACCAGAGCCTCAGAGGTCAGAGCCCGTCAAGGCAGAAGAGCAGAGAACCCCTCCAGAGGTCGACTCAATATCCCTGGACACCCGCTTCGACCAGGATGAGCCTCCTAGCGGTGAGCAAGTCCCCCTTCGACCAATTCTGGACGGGGACTTCGAACTCGTCCCCCTCGGTGAGGACCCAAGCAGAGGAGTGAAGATTGGCACCGGACTCCCCGACTTGGCAAGGAAGCAAATCAAAGCTTGCTTACGCGAGAATGCAGACCTATTCGCGTGGAGCGCTGCGGAGATGCTTGGACTCGACCTCGAGGTCGCCTATCACCGTATTGCCATAGATCCAGCCGCTAGGGAAGTAGTACAACGTAGACGTAGGTAGTCTCCGGAGAAAGCGGAGGCCGCTGAAAAAGACCTCCTAGAGGAAAATTTTATTTCTGAAGCCCGGTATTCAACCTGGATGTCAAATGTTGTACTTGTCAAGAAAAATAATGGAAAGTGGCGAATGTGCGTTGATTATACCGATCTTAACCGGGCATACCCGAAAGATGCATTTCCTTTACCTAACATAGACATGCTGGTCGACAACCCGGCCTGTTATAAAATACTATCGTTTATGGATGCCTATT